TTATTGTCAGGCCTTGGACCCCTCTCCTGCCAGGCACAGATTTTTGTCTGTTTTGTTCACTGGTTATGCAAAGTTCCTACAACAGTGCCTGGCATATAGCAGTCACTCAATATACATTTGTGGCACGACTGAATACTATAATAAATAACAATGCATCAGTCATTTCACATGTTAATTAACATACATGTAACTAAATCCCTAGACGTGAAACTGCAAGGTCAAAGGGTAAACGCATTATTTTGAAATGGTGCCAAACTGAGGTTGTACCAATTTACATGCTCATTAGTAATGCAGAAGAATGGCAGTATTACAACACCCTTTCAAACACAGTGTGTTGACACACTTTTTAATTTTTGCCAATCTGACATGATAAATGGCAGCTTGGAGGCTGAATATCTTTTTCAATGTTTAAGAGGCATTTCTAATTTCTGTGGGCTATCTGTTCAATGTTTTTGCTTTTTTTTTTTAAGTTGTTGATCTTCTTTTTAATATAGTGGAGATTTTTACACATATGGGATTTCTACATAACCTGTTTTCATTTTGTTCCACAAACTGAGGCACACAGAAAGTACTTTTCCTCGGAGATATTTTACTAGTGCAGCCTCTCAGGAAGACCCACAGTGAAGCAGCCAAAGTCTTCTCCACCTACATGACCTCTAGTACCTGCAGTTTCACCAATCAACAAGGGACCAGGGCTCATTAAATGTTGATGGGACCAAGATGGTCCTTTTTCTCTGGTTTAAATTTGGAGAGTAAAGAAAAGAAAGACAAGGAGAAACAGGGAAACTCTCATTTATCCTCAATCACCAAATCCTATCAACTCTACCCCCTAACCATCTAGATCATCTAGATACACCTCTGTTACCTCCCACTACTAAACTGTTTTCCTGTGAGCCAGTTTCCTCACTTCCAGTCCCCGTGCTCATTAGGTTGTCTTGCACACCACAAACACTATGTTATTCCCCTGCTTAAAAACGGCCTCACTTTGCTTTTAAAATAAAGTCTGAATGTCCTAGTATGACCTGACCCCAGCTCACTTCTCCAGCCTCAACAATTCCCACTCCCTTCTTCACACAGCAAGCTCCAGACAGACTGTGCTGCTCACGATTTTGAGTGCTATGCTCCCTCAGCTCCAGGCCTGCACACACACAAAGGCCACTCATCTCACCCTCCCGTCCCGAGCCCCATCACCTGGCTCAGACGTCCCTTCTGGGAAGCTTTCCCTCAACTCTTACCTCCTACCTGGAATGCTCTTCCCCAAGATACACAGAATGGCTGGGAATTCCTCCTATGTGTTTCCACACCCCCGTTCTCATCCCAATCTTAGTGCTATCACCCTGTATTCTTGTCTCTTTATTTGTTCCCCTCACGAGACAGGAAACTCCTTAGGCCAAGGAAATGCTTCACCCTTTACTGTATCTCCAGGACTTAATAAGGAACGTGGCATATAGTAGGTCACAATAAATATCTGTTAAATGAGTAAATCAGTGAGAGACATGGAGAGAGAGGAAAACAAATATACTAATAGATCAAATTTGAAAGTCCTTTCCATTTATGACTTTTATAGATATTAGATCCTCATAAAAACTTCCATCTAAATACCATTATTTTAACATGAATTAAATGAGATCAAATGATGAAAATAATATGTAGCATGATATATATTTGCTCAGAAGCCTCACTGTAAAAATTAGTTACTCCAATCTTGCTATATATTTGGGCCTAGCGATGTTATATCTAGCATAGTAACTGCTGAATAAGTGATAGAAACTATAACAGGTAAACAGTACCTTGAGTTTTTGAATGAATGAATGAATGAAGTGTATGCAGTGCCTTTTTTCTATCCTTAAAACCTTCTCAGATTTTTCTCTGACTAGGATCGACTATAATAGCCCAGTCCAATCATGACAGTCTATTAGAGAGGAAACATTTCTCTGGATAGTGATCAGGACCCAGTCAGACGAATGACACTGGCCCTTCTCCCTCTCAAGGTTCAGTCATTCCCCTGGACGACTCTTGTCTTCCACATTGGAAAACACATTTCATCCTGAAACCAGCTCCGAGACAGTGTTGGCTTGTTTTAATTGAAAACATCATTAAACTAATCATTAAAGCCATCAATGCAGCAGTTCATACCTAAAGCTGCCGCAGTAATCTCAATAAAAGGCACAGCCAAAACCTGCTAGAACAAAATGGTATTTACCATAAAGTCATTTCCAAGCTTGTAGTCTCCAATGCCATAGTTGTAAGTCAGTTCTGCAACAAAATGGTCATCCTCAGGGCCAAATCCCACCATTGTTTTACTCCATTTCCCATCATAAGGCCTAGAAAAATTAAAATAAATGAACCCAGTGACCACAGACAAAATCTGCCTCAGGCCTCCTCAAAGAACTACTGGGGCAGAGAGCACCTTCTGGTGCTCAAGTACCCACGAAGAGGAGATGACCTCGGCTGGTGCTAAAAGCAGCTGTGCACGGTGCTCCCAGGCCCCATCACTGAAGGCTCCAAAGACCATCTGTCTGGCACTTATTTCAAAGATTTGCTTACCTATTCTTGAAAGTAGGAGACAGAATCCTATGAAGACAGTTCTCCAACTTGACTTAATTTTTTTGCCTATCCATCAACAAGCATGCAATTTCCATCAGGCCTTGGAATTTTCCACTTTGCCATGGCTACTAAGCTTAAGAGATCCTTGATAAGACATTTTGCTTCATCTAGAGGATATATACTTGTGTTCCTCAACTGGCCTCCCTAATTCAATGCCTCCTTAATTTATTTCATTGCCTTATACTCACTTTGAGAAACTGTCTTCTATTCTTCAGGGACATTCAGAGACTAAAGGAGATTTTAAGAAATAAGGTGTCATACCCATTACAGGCAGCTTTGCAGCCTTCTTCAAATTCTTCATGCCGCAGAACCTGGTAAGGGAATTAGAATCAATTGTGAAGTTTTACTAGTACTGCACAGAGCATATTTAGCACAAACTGCCAAAACACAGACATCATCATTCATGAGCTTTACTTGTAAAACAAAGATAAATAAGTTTTATATCTTTCCCAAGCTATGATTAACTGAGGAAAGGAAGAACAGCTGGATAATGAAGGTCAGGCAACCAAGCAAAGTTGTGAAATATGTTTCGTTTGGGAAACAGCGCTGTGGAGTTAAAAAAAAAAAAAGTATGGCCTTCAGCATGAGAGAAGTCTGACTGGGAACTCTGGCTGTGCCACTCAGTTCTGTAACGCTGAGAACACTGCTTAGGATCTGAGTCTCCTAATATGTTGTGAAAAAAATAATTTATTAAAGCATTTGATACAGAACCTAGTACACAGGAGGCTCTAGATTCTGTTTTCCTTTTTGATTCCCTAAATTACTATCGCTCCAGTTCAATCTCCCATCACTTCTCTCATTGACTATTAAAAAGCATTTTTGCTGATCTCCTTCCTTAATGCCATCATAAAATTATATCATTAAAACACATCTGATCACATCACTGCCCTGTTCTAAATGTAAGAGAGCTTCCTACTTACTGTGCATTAATTCCAACCCTTAGCATAGTATTCTAGATATTGTCAGAAGCAACCCATTTGCCCCAACCTATTTGTTCTGCTATCGCAGCTCCTTAACTTAAATGAAGTAATTTAATCTAAAGGCACATAAAATAGTGATGTTTCCCAAACACACCTTATCTTTGAATTGGCTATTAGGTTTTTCTAGCATCCTCCTCCCTCTAATCTTGGTCTGTGGAAATTCTACCTATCTACAGAGGTCAACTCAAATGCAAGCATTCCATGAATGATTTCCTGATGACCCAGGTTGGAGTTAATTTCTCCTGTTGCATTTTTATAATAGTAGCTAACACATAAAACAAGTATCAAATACCACAAATATAACAATGTGTTTAATCTTCACAACGTTAATCAATGAGGAAACATTAAGGGAGAGCTATGGTTTTTCTATCACTTATAAAATTTCAACTTGCTTTACTGTTAACTCTGTACAAAACTAACTCACCCTGCCCCCATCCCAGGTACTTTAATGGAGGGCAGACACCGGGGATCATTTTCATCTTTGTCACCAAAGTTCAACACAGCACCATGACACATGGATGGTATTTTTAAAATTACCTGTCAGGTAATTTCTTTGCACCCCGTGTCTTCTGCACTGTCTCTACACTAAACTGCACTGTTCCACCTCTAAAGTCCTTGCTTATCAGGAGCTCCCCAACAGCTCCCATGTGCGTTTGCCACCCAGGTGACCCCTACAGAATCACAGCTGCTCAGAGCTGGAGAGAGAGGCCGCTTCGAGTGCTGATGAGGAAAATGGGTTCTGATTTCACACTTAGATCTGAACTGTTGGGGGGAGAGTCGGAACATTCACGCAGTGATTGAGGATCCCAAAGAGATTATTCCAACCAGCCCTGAGAGAAACAGAACTCCAGATGTGCTTGTTATCTAAACCGTAAGGCTCCAAACCAGAAAAGACTGAATTACTGTTTACTGGAAAAGTGAAAATTTTTAAAGTATCCTGTCTTCCCACTAGACTGGAAGCTCCTTAACGGCAGGAGCTCGGCAGGTATTTGCGAAGGAACTTAAATGAAAATAAGTGTGTGGGCGTGTAGTTCGGGACTCGTAGTGTAAGCCCCCTTTCTAATCCAACCACCGATTCGTAACACTGCAGCCAGCCGAAAACGGGACGGGGCTAAAGGGAGTTCCACTGGCTAAGGTCGGACCCCTGGATTCAGGCTGATTTACAGCCACACCCTCATCCTCCCTACCTACCTCGGTCACGTGCGGCTCCGCGCCCGCGCCCCCCTGCCGCGCCCGCCCCTCTCGGCCCCGTATGCACCTTCATCCCCAGGACATCACGATAGAAATGCGCCGTCCGGAAGCGGTTTCCCACCTTGAATACAAAGTGCAGAGCTCGACGAGCAGCCATAGCTAAAGCACAGCGCCGCACGGCCGGCAGAAGACGCACACGGAACGGCGACGGCACTGGTCGCCGCCGGCGCGCTGTCGTGACGCAACCAAAGCCGCAGGAAAGATGGCGGCGCTGGTGAAGGGCTTAGGCTGCGCCACGCGACTGTTGCTGCCGGTGGTCCAGACTTGGGACCTGGACGCGCGGCGCTGGGTCCGGGCGCTGCGGCGGAGCCCCGTGAAAGTGCTGTTTCCATCCGGACTGGTGGTGGGACGGAAGCCCGGTCCTGGGAAGCAGCCCTCGAAGGCGGCGGATGAGGCCAGTCCTGAGTGGAAACGGAAGCAGCCGCCTCAGGTGCCCTCGTCCCAGACACCCAGCACCTGGGAAGAATCGGGGCTTCGCTATGATAAGGCTTTACCTGGGGACCGAAGGCTGAGGTGATGTGCTCCTGAGGCTTATCGAGTATTTAACGTATCTCTTCCCTCCTCCTATCAGGACCCTAGCCTCTTCCCTCCTACTGGAATCGCTGGTTTTTTTATGCACGGAGAGCAGAATACATGTCTTCCTTGGCGTTAGTTCGTTTCTGTGAAGTTCGTTCTGTTAGATCTAGGTGTCTCCATAATAAGGATGTTGGTAATCATCTTTTTGTTTCTACCCACAGCAGTGTAATGACAATTGTTAAGTCCAGGCCATTTCGTGAAAAGAAAGGGAAGATCCTGCTGGAAGGCCGCAGGCTGATTGCAGATGCTCTTAGAGCTGGTGCTGTGCCAAAAGTTTTCTTCTTCAGTCGTCTGGAATACATAAAGGAGCTGCCAATTGATAAACTGAAAGGTGTCAGCCTCATTAAGGTGAAATTTGAGGATATCAAGGATTGGTCCGACCTAGTAACACCGCAAGGAATAATGGGTCAGTGGTTATACGGTGTGTCACTAGACACAGAGACCTAGGATTACTCGTTCGTACTTACCTTATGGCAGCAAATTTAGTTTAAACCAAATTCAGTATGTTCCTGCCTAGCCTTTTCTTAAGACACAGAAAAATACACTTCTCAGGTCTATGCATCTTAACAGTATTTTTGGTGGAAAATGAAACCAATTTTTTGTGATCAGTTGTATTATGGCTCTTTATAGTCTCTAAGAATAGCTACTCTTCTCAAACCCTGTATTTTTTAGGTCACTTCTTCAACCTTTAACATCCAACTAAAAATTAGGAAAATGTTTATCAAAATATTTAGCCCTCCATTTCCACAAAGCCTCTGCTAGTGTAGTGATACCTATCTATCACTGACTCTCTTGCTCTAGAAGCAGATCTGAACAGTAAGCTGCAATTTATTGCCATGTTTAGCCCATGGAACAGGAAACCTGCCTTCATTTGGTTGAATCTAACTTGATTCTAATAGACTGTGATGTCTATTAGCACTTGAAAGTGTTTTTTCTAAACATGGAAAGACTAAATTCTTTGTACCTTTTTGACATTGGAGTTCTACTTAAGATCTGAGAACTGAATGGCAGTAAGTGTAGAGGTTTCTCTCAGATAGAAGGAACAGTTGGGGCAGGGAGGAGTTATTGTCAAGATTCTAATGTTTAGGCCAGGGCCTCTCATATCAGTTGTGCATGTGTATTCCCTGCAGCAGGCTGTCTGTGCATCTATTAGTTGGGAGAGGAAATTCTGGGGACCATCTCTTGTTTCTATAACTCTCCTTTGTTCAGAACTGTCCCTTAGGGTTGTGACTTGGGCTACCAAAGTCCTTCTCTCAAAGTAACTGTAGTCTCATTAGCTGTACCTCTCTAATCCCTGCTCCATGCTACAGTGACAATACCTCTCACTTTTACCATGCTTCCACTTGGGCATATGTGCTAATAGTGGCCAGCCTGCCCTGGGCTTCTGTAGCCCCCTTCGTCATTATGACTGTTTTCATCAGTTTATGGCTTTTAAAATTGCGTATTATTTAGCTTATCCTAATTATGTTTTATTTCAGATTAGAGGAGTGTAAAGGAAGAAATAGATAAGATCTAGCAAAATCTGTCAGATTTCAGGCACATATCTAAAATCCAGTAATGTAAGTGAGGCCTCTAGATGAAGAGACTACTCATCAGAGCCATTCAAGTGGAAATTAAAGGACTTCCAGTGGGCCCCCCACTGAATGGCCTGGGGCTATCTGTGACTTTAAGTGCAGGATCTTTTTTTATGGCACACAGATGCCTGAATCCTTTCCACTGCCGTCATTGATGTTAGGGATACGTATTTGTGTGTTCTTGGTGTGAGTAACCTGGGATAGCCTGTGGGAGGGCAGTGTGGCAGTATATGTCAACATAAAGAGTGCACAGACATCATCTGTCCATTTCACTTACAGGTGTTTTGCTAGGGAAGTATTTTGACATTATGTACACAGAGTCATACAGGGATGTTCCACACAGGGTTGTTTATAATAGGGAAAATTTGAAAATAATCTGGATGTTAGTTGGGGAAGAGCTGAATGAATGTGGTGTATTGTTGCAGAATAACATGGAGCAGTTAAAAGAATAAAGTAGCTCTGTATTGACATGGTAAATTCTCTAAGTCAAGTTATATAGAATAATACATAGAGTATGATTTTGTGTAAAAGACAAAAGCACCTGTATGTGGGCAGATGTACAAAGATGTAGGTAGGTGCCTGGAACAAGTTCTGAAAGGATACACTCCAAGATTAAAAACAGTTGGTGTGGCAGGGGCTCACTGGTAGGACTTTGGATTTTTGCAATCAGAATATTATGCATGTGTTACTTAATGTAATTCAGAAGAAAAAATGGCAAGTATAGGAAAAGTTAAAGTAGTTCTCATGCCCACGTCAGACAAACTGCCTGTTTGGTTTCCTCAGGGATTTTTGTCAAACCTGACCCTGACAAGATAACATACCCAGAGACTCAGCTGTGCCATTCCCTGCCCCTATTGTTGATTTGTGATAACCTCCGGGACCCTGGGAACCTGGGCACAATTCTGAGATCTGCTGCTGGAGCCGGCTGCAGCAAAGTATTACTCACCAAAGGTAAGAGCCCTGGGCAAAGGTCGGGTAGGGTGGTGGCCCTTTGTAAGTGAGCTGGCTCTATGGGCAGACGTGTGGATTTGAGTCTTGAATCTGCCCTTTAGTAGCTGTATGTCCCTGAGCAGTATTTGGGGTGTCAGCTTCCTCATCTGTAAAATGTACGTAATAGAATCTAGGGTTTTCTGAGGATTCAGTGAGGTGATGCATTTGAAGTACTTAGCATTGTGTCTAGCACAGAGTAAGTAAGTTGGTAAATGTTGAATGTCTTTTAAAGTTATTTTGACACCTAAGTTATTAAAGAAAATTTAAAATCAATCAGGAAAATAAATAGATGCCATTTTAAACACTTGCTTTCAAGTCCTTTATTTGATGGTCTTGAGTTCCCAAGTTGTTGGGCATATGAGACCCGCCTAGTTCTTGACATTCTGAATCCCCTGAAGGGAATGATGTTAACGGTGTGATTATGAAGTCATGACATGTTCCCTTAGCCTCAGGCTGGGTCAACACAGCACACACAAGTTTTCCTCAGTATATTTCCGCCTCCTCTCCACAGAAATGGGGGATAGTAGGCCTGGTTCTAAACAGACTTGCCTAACAGTTGGGACATGCCTAAAATGCCTGTTACAACTTGGGAGGAGGGTGAGAGGGCGACAATCAGTCCTCAGAGACACTCAAGCTACCATTCAGTGTCAACGAATAGTGGCACCCATTGCTGAGACTTCCTCCCCGTCGCCCCTCCTTGGAGTGCATTTCCCTGCCAGTGTGAGAGCGAGGTGCTGGGGCCCTGTCATGAGTACCCCACTCACCTGCCTGTCGTCGAGAGCTCTGAGAGCAGGTCTGGTTTGGGAAATGTGCCTGTGCGATCCTAGTGGCGTGGTTTCCACATGGATGCTCTTGGCTGGCGTATGAGAGGCCGAGTAAGTAACACTTTGTGGTTACTTGTATGGAGGACAGTGGGGTGAGGGGGATTTTATCTTGTTCTTTTCTGTCCCTGCCTTGCCTCAGCCTCTTGGCCTCCTGCCCAAGTCCCATCTCTGCTTCCCTGCAGGAACTGGGGAAGCCCATGGTGGGCGATATGTGCGAGCAGTGTCATGTTCTTCATGTCTTACTTCCCTTTTTAAATTTGGTGTCTATTTGATCTGTCCTGAAGTTTGACAGATTAATTTTTAAAATCTTGTAGTGAGGAGGCTCATGCTGACAGGTCAGGGGAGGGTGGTCGATGTTTTGTGCCCTGGTCCTGCTGTCTGTCTCAGCCTGTGGTTGTGGGAAAGGCCAAGTGTATGCCAGGGGGTAGAGGTGGTTGGGCTTAGCGTGCGACAGTATGTGGAAGAACAGTTGTCTGACCTTCGTCACTGCAGTGTGAGAGGAGGGCTGCGTGTGGGTGACAGGCTGCTGCCTGGTTTCCCCTGGATCACTGGAATCGCCTCCACTCTGATTTCCCATCTCTAGTGTCTTCCCTGCTGCAATCCAGATCCAACACTGAAGCCAAATGGGTCTTTCTAAAACAAATTCTGTCTCCACTTTGCTTAAATCCTTCAGTGGCATCATATTGTCTTCTGAGTTAAATCCTAAACTCAGCCTGGCACACCCAACTTCCTTTAAATTGGTCCTCGCCTGCCTCCTTCTTATCTCCCATCACACCCCCACCCATTAATTGCCCTGATCACCTTACTTAGTTCTAGGACTGTGGCACTGTTCCCCTTTCTGTAACTTTGTCCTCTATAGGGGCCTTTCTTTGACAGGATACTCCTGTCCTTCTAGATCCAGTTCAATGTCATGTTCTCCTGGATGTTTTTCCCGGTAGCCCTGCTTCGTGTAGGGGTTTCTGGCTTCTGTCACATCAGTTATTACTGTATTGTATTTCACCTGCTTACCTGCTTAAACATTGTCCCGATGCCATTGCCCACTGTACCATGAGCTCCTTGAGGTTGGGGGCTTTGCTGGTCTTTGTATTTCCTACACAGTGCCTGGCACGTGTGCATGGTAAGTACTGAAGGGATGAATAAAGCCTCTTTCAGCACTAGCAGGAATTAATCCTATAACCCCTTTACTGGACGCTGCCATAAGGGGGCAGGCAGAGATCCCAGCTGTCAAGGAGGCTATGAAAGGACGTTTTTTGCTTCATCTCCTAATTCAGAATTAAGTGATTTACTCCAGAGTCCCTTTGTCTGGGGAGGTTTATAATCTTAATTGGATCCTGTCTTTTATTTTTTAGGCTGTGTGGATGCCTGGGAGCCCAAAGTTCTGCGGGCAGGTATGGGTGCACATTTCCAGTTGCCCATCATCAACAATCTGGACTGGGAAACGGTGCCCAGCTACCTGCCCAACGACACCCGGGTCTATGTGGCTGACAACTGTGGCCTTTATACCCAGGCCCAGATGTCTAGTAAAGCCAGTAACCATGGCTGGGTTTGTGACCAGCGACTCTCTAAGTTTCACAAGTATGAGGAGGAAGAGGAGGAGGACCAAGAAACTGGAGCCAGTAAAGACTGGCTTCCTGATCTTGAGGTCCAGAGTTACGACTTGGACTGGACAGAGGCACCGGCAGCTGTGGTGATAGGTGGGGAGACCCACGGCGTGAGCCTGGAGTCCCTGCAGTTGGCCGAGAGCACTGGGGGCGGGAGGCTGCTGATCCCTGTCGTGCCTGGCGTGGACAGCCTAAACTCAGCCATGGCTGCAAGCATCCTGCTATTTGAAGGGAAAAGACAGCTGCGGCTAAGGGCAGAACACTTGAGCGGGGACAGGAGTTACCACTGAGAGGGGATGTGGCAGTGAGTCCTCAGTTTGAGGTTGTCTCCAGCTCCTCTGCATTGTTAGGAGTCGGGCGGAGTCGGTACCTGGCTTCTGAGGTGTGTTCAGGAGGCAGAGGGTGGGCGTGATGCTGTCACATGGTTATTAGAAAAATAGGAATTTCCATTAATTTTGCTTATCCTCAGCATTCTTCCTGAGATCTCCCATCTCCCCCATGGTGTTTTAGTGTGTGCACATATATATATATTTTTATACATACATATATATACACATGTGAATGTGACATTAACAGATGAGCCACATAGCTTTATATTGTATGTTTTAAGAATTGTCTGCCAAGGAGCATTTTTGTGCCCAGAAAGTTCTGGAAGGCATCATCTTGGGCAGGAAGGACCATCCCCTTTACAGCTAGCTGGTGGGTGTTTTTAGTCACTGAGCACTGGGTATAGGCCAGGCCCAGTCACTCACTCCTGATCACGGGTCAATGGAAAACTGAAGTGTAGACCAGCAGATTACATTAAGAAGTTTTATGTCAGCGGGTCTTAATGTCTGTCTTTAATCTCTGGCTTAGTGATGAGGTCATTGCTAGGGGGTGAGTGACTCAGGACGCTGGGGCTCCATGTGATGGCATTTCAGAGCTTGCTGTTCCTTCGGCTTGGCCCCACCAGTCCCTGTGATTGCTTGATCAGGCCTTGACTTAAACAGCCATTTTTTATGTAAAACACGATTTCTTTTCCCATCTCTGGTGAAACAGCTGATAGAAACAACTTAATTCAGTAGATGACATTATTCCTTCTTAGCTCCTCTGCACATGTCTTTTTGGGGACTCTCTGTTCAGAAATGGAGGGAAGAGTTTTAAAATCTTGAGTTTAATCCTGCATCTGTCAGGAAAGCCAGACCCTTTCTTCTAGCTTCCTGCGGTTACTCCTACTTTATGTAACACTTCTGGTTAAATGTGATGAGTTGAGGGACATATTTACATTAATACCCCCTCCTGCATAGCTGAACAGAACTGTTAGGAAAATGCCAGCATTGCTGGACACCATGTGAATAGAGGGCTCCTGCGAGAGAGGAGAGGCTGAGGTTCTGGGATGAGAGCCTGGGGCCCTTGCACCCACAACACTGCAGCAGGATCCTGCTGTTCTCTAAACCCCAGGGGACTGGGCAGGCTGGAGCCTTGCCTACCAGGTGCCAACGAGATGTAGCTGGGGACACGACAAATGCAGATGGTAATCACTGTGTGTAAGGCACTGTGGGAAGTGCGTGGGTAGGACTGGCGCATGGGACTTAACTTCAAGCAACCACAGAGATAAGGCTGGAGTTGAGGATGACACTACCAGTGTAGCTTCACATCCCTGTTGTACAGTGGCTCCTGTCATCATTGGGATTGCTTGGGAGCCCTTCAGCTGCTCATTCCAGGGAGGCCCAATGAGTTGTGGTGTGCCTAAGAGACACTGTGGCCTCCCTTGCTCTCTGCTCTGCTCTCCCAGCTCCCTAATAGAATTTCCTCCAGAGAATCAGAGATCAAGCGTGACTTGAACCTCAATGGGGGCAGAGTGGGATTGCTTGGATACATTTGAGAGGAGGGAACAGTCTCTCTGGTTAGCCATGCTCTCCCAACCAGAGCCTCTGCCCTGGTGCCCCACTCCCACCCAGGCCCCACACATTTGTTGCAAGTGGCCCTCACAACAATTGTTTTTGAAATACTGCATCCCCTGTCAGCATTTATAAAGTAGAAAAGCTCACAGCCTTTAAACTGCTGAGTCCATGAAGGCTGGGGCCTACTCTGCCAGCTTTACAGAGCCATAATGCCTGTTAGACCAGCTGGCTAGATTTGGGAGGCAGCCCAGAGAACTGAGTCACTCCAGTCTACTGACATTCGGTCTGACACCTTGGCAAAGTGCTAAACAAACAGAAGTCACTGATGGGAAGCTCATGCCTTTCCACCATGAAACCAGTCTCCGGCAACTTTTTTCTCTGGGTTATTGTTCCTGTTGGATTTGGTTACGAAATAAAAATCAGTGAAAAAACAATTGTCCTATACCTTGTCCTTGTTCAGAAAAACAAAGCAATACAAACAGTATACCTGACATGCAATTATAAGCCAACTTTATCATCCCGGGTGTACAAAAAAATTAACATCCCATTCATTTTATACTTTTGTGTACTTGTGGGTGTAAGTTAGAGGGGAGAGCAAATGTTCCTTTTAGGGGACTACAAGGGAAGCAAGTGGTGGTGAAGTTCTCATTTTCTGAGCAATACTGGAAAACTAGTTTGAATTCTTAACCTGGAGGCCAATGTGTGCCTTGTCACCATTTCCCAAGGAGTAAGAAATGAATGTAAAACATGCTGACAAGTCAGGTTGGTCAAGCTGCTCCTGGCCTTTGTGTTGAGTGTAGCTGTGATGGGGATCTCTGCCACGAGGTGGCAGCCACGCCTCAAAACCACTGCCAGCCGTGGAAGGGAGGGGTCGGGATTTTTCCTGGATTTCCACTACACGGGGCATTTTGCAAGCCATTGTTGCCCAGAGGTGCTCAAGTTGGAGACCCATCCAGCTTGTCACTCTCTTGGCAGAATCTGAGGTATAGGAGGCAGAATCTGAGGTATAGGAGGATGTTGGTCCAGAAATTGAGGGTGGCTACACAGAGACAGAAAGTGGCTACAGCAGGAAAACCTAGCACTTTTCCCTTTGAATAGAGCCTCCTGGGAAAGCAGCTCCTGGCAAATGCTTATGGCTCCACACACCTGGCACTCACACTGGGAACCCACTGCCTCACCCTTGGCTTGGCGCTTCAGGAGAGGGAGAGCTGAAGTCTTCCCTTTCCCTAGACAGAGGCCCAGAGGAGAAACAGACCCCTGGCACTGCCTTCTACTAGTTCCACCTGGGACTGTGCCCCATGGTTAATAGCAACACTAGATGTCACCATCCACCCTGGGCTGCTTTCTACTCCACTTCTGCCATTCTGCCACATGAAGACCCCAGAAACCACCTTGCCCAGGGATCTGTGGCTAGTGCTGAAAATGACCGGCTGTGCTGCAAGGCCTGGGGCTCCCCTCTGAGCCAAGCTGCTTCTGCCCTTCGGCAAGGGCGGACCCAGCTCACTCACCTTATATTTTGTTTTTTGAAACACTGTACGTGTAATGTAGACACCTATAAACTCCAAGATCTTATTTTCTGTTTTCATCAATGAGTTTACAGAGGCAGTAAGCTAGAAGCCAAGTTATGCATGAGCCGACTCCCTGCTCTGTGTGATCCTAAGTCTGAATTAAGTCGCCAATGTTACATCAGAGCAGCTGCAACAGCAAGCAGTTGCAGGCCCAGTCCTTGCTGAAAGGCCCAGGAAGCCTGGGCTGATGCTCAAGGCCAAGTACGACTGAGAATGTGACTACACTGCAGATGATACCAGTTCTCTTCTTACTACTTCTGTAGAAAAGAGAGGGCCACCACCAAAGCTGCTGCTTCACTAAGTGCAAGAAGGGAACAGGTTGGTGGGGGGAGACCTGGCTGCAGGAGGGTCTGTCCTCCCAGCCTGCTTGCACCTCTGTGAAGGGAAGGCAAGCACATACTGGCTGCCAGGCAGCAGAGTGGCTCTTGATTGATTGGGGAATTAACATACCCTGACGTCCAGATTCATTTTTTTTTTTTGCCCGGGGTCCTAAGGTCATGCCTCCCATATCATAGTCCTAGCCCTTGTGGGTTACTTACTTGTGTGAGGCATGAGCACCCAGGAATCCAGGCCTGAGGCTGTCTTGCCACCTTTGGGCTGCACACTGGCCGTCAGGCCTGGGGACAAAGGCTTTCACAAGCTGGCACATTATTTAATGGAAATCCAGCAGTCCTTCAAACAAGTCCTACCAGATCTAATAACACATTTCCTGGTTTGGGAAGTATTCCAAAATACCAAGAGGGTGAGACATACTTTTGCCTGAAATACTTTTGCCAGGAACATTTAAGGCGCATCCTAATGTCCTATTTCCTCCAACCATAAAGTGGACCCAATATAAACTTATCCTACATACAAGTCTTTAATTTCCTGGAAAAAATTTCACCCTTCACACATGTACCACTTACTAATAATGAATGATAAATAATGAATCTAGTAGACAACAGTTATTTCCCCAAAGAATTTTCCCTTGAGCAGCCTGCTTGGAGGAAAGCAGTGGGTGCTATTTACCTCTTGGTATCAGCAAAGGGGGATGTAGGTTAAGTGCTCGCTCCACACTTGCTTCAGGGTGAACAGCTCTGCTCCGACTCTCCAGTCAGTCCTCAGTTTGCACAGCAGCACCCAGAGAAGCTGCAGGGGACCTGGCTGCACTGCCCCCAGTTCTACTGTAGCGCCGTTCTGGTCCTATCAGGTAAGCATGGGCCAGCCAACTGGCCAGGGGAACGGACAGACACACAGACACACACACACATTGGGTCCTCCAGTGACACAGACACACACAACCTTTAACACACACACACACAACCTTTCACAACCTTTCTCCCTAAGCTGACAGTGCAATACCTTGTTGGCTTCAGCTGATGTGTTCCCGGACCATATTCTACTATGTCTTTATATTCATTGCTGAATTCACTTTGCTGTCCTGGAATAAGGCAGCAGGAGGAGCAAACAGCATTTTGGTGTCTTTAATTAGGTGGCAAGAGAAAACAAAGTCTGGTTGACAATTGCCACTTGCAGCTTGGCTGATGCCAAATGAGCAGTCCTGGCTCCCTGTGCTCAGATTAGTGAGAGCCATTGATTTCGAGGACATGTTTTGGAGGTGGGTTGAGAAGAAGAGTAGGCAGTCACCTCACTCCTGGAAAAGCAGCTGGTTTCCAGTCACCCTCTGGCATTTACAGCTGCCCACTGTATATACCAATCCCAAACATATACCCTTTTTCTTAGGCAAATCTTTATTGTTTGGTATAGGTAGAAAAAAAATCTCATCTCTTGTGAAAATGTGTAGTCAGATCTGAAGTCAGTGTGGTGAACACAAATCTCGATCCCCAGGGTGGCATTCTTACAGCCACCATGTGCCTCAACCTGCAGGGCATGGTTTCCCTTGCTACTGGTGGAAGAAGCCCTTGAATATGTCGCAGCTGGTGTTTTAACCTGCTTCCAATCAGCGACAAGAATTTTAAGGTATTTTGGAGTTGCTTAGTGGGAATTAAGAAGCCACCCACTTCAACTGCATCATTAACCTTTACAATCTCTCGCATTGTTGAGAAAGGGACTTTTCACTGGTGCCGGCAAAGTGATTTTTGCCAGAATTTCCTCCAAAGTCACCACTATATGAACCTCAAGCACCATCCCACTGATATTACCTACACACCCACTCCAGAAGGAGAATTCTGGGGTCAAGGACCCAGCTGACATTTGTGTCAAGTGGTTCAGTCCAGCCTGTGTGGGCCATAGAAGGATGACGGGCGACCTAGTTTTCCTGCTACAGTGACTCACAGGGACTCCTCACCAGACCTTGCTCCCTCTGCCCTGGAAGAGAAGCAGCTGCCAAGAGAGACCACCTTTCCTCCAAAGCCATCACGACATAGGGCATAGGCAGAAATCCATCTTCTAAGTGAGGCTGACCTCATCTTGTCCCCAACTCCAAGGGAGGCACTGGTGGGGTTCCCAGAGAAGGCCCTAACCGCAGGATAGAGCCCGGGTTGAGAGTCTCCACTACTGCCCCATTCCTCACAGGGAGATGTGTGTGGGATTCCTTGTGCTTCTCCAACTAGCCCTCTCCGGCTTCAGAGTGCTTGCTCCCCCAGTGGGGTATGAGCACGAGTATCCATAAGCTTGTCTAATCTGAGAATCCTCCCCCTGCAAGGGCGAGTCAGACCAGAAAAACGGCTGCCGGAGCCCCAGCAGGGAAGCGTCTCTGGCACTCTAATCCAGAGGAGCTTCCTGGCTTCATGAGGACTCAACAGTTGGCTATGTTACGTTCAGTTCTCTTAAATTCTGAAACATAGCTACCGGGTGTCCCAGTTAAGAGGCTCTTGTATGTCCCACCCCCCGACTCCCCAGTAGAGCACCACAAGTGAAAAGATTTCTGTTAATAAGCACAGGAAAGGCCAAGTGGTTGAAAACACCCAGAGATGATGCCTGCTTTATTTCTTACCAGGTGACTGTGTTTCAGGCTGATGACATCAAGTAACAGTCTAATTACCAACTAGTTTTGTACCTCTGAACTATAAGGCAACCATCCAAGTCAGCGAGGAGCAACGGTGTCAACAGCTAACTGGGGGGCTGGGTTTTCCAAACAGATGGTCTCGGTTGGCCGAGCACTGTGAGTGAGCCAAGGCTCATTTGAAAGACCCGTCACCCGGCTGACACAGACTAAAACACCCTGTGAAGCCCTAGGCAAAGCCCTCCATCTGAATCCTAAAAACACAGCTACTGTTACTTTCCTTTTTCCTGGTCATTTCAGCCCAAACAGGGAACCAAGCTACATGGGCCTAGCAAAGTGGACCCAAGGCCTACTTGTGGTTGGTGTGTCCTCTGCCTTCACTCCCACTCCAGGGCACAGCCCTTTCTGCAGGTTCTCAGGAAAAAGCATAGGCTTCTGGTAACTTCTTGTCTCTCTTTAGTTCTGAGTTGAAAAGAAAAGGGAACGACAGGGGTAACCAAAGGTGGGCACAAGCACCTCGGCAGAGTTCCAGTGGCCCCGGGCCCAGAGCTGGGCTGAGGGAGAGGCGGTGCCCCTCGAAGAGGGAAGGCCAAGTGCACTTTCTCAGGAAGATGTCCAAGGGAAAGAATTAACAAAATTCCAAGAGAGTACGGGCTGTTCAAAACCTGGAGAAGGTCAAGATCAAGGAAGGAAAAAGATATAAGGAAGGAATGAGAAGCTCTTTCATACCACATGGTAGGAATTCAATCAAAGTAAGCACTTACTACATGAATCGTTACGGCGGCTACTCTTTCTCACAAGAAGAGAACACAGGCTTCCATTGCTATCTGGAGAGGCTGCCCAAAAAGCAACTGACAAGGTGGTGGGCTCCCCTCAGACCAACAGAGACTAGGTCACTTCAGAAAGGATGTTCTCACCGGCAAGACCTAAAAGGCCACGGCCCTTCCCTGCTCCACCCACACATCCAGCTGTCACCGAGCTGTCCTGGGCACTGCGTGGGCATGCCGACAGCAGGGGCAGACCAGAGCACCGATGCGCTGTCCCTCCGGGCTCACCAGCAGGAGAACGCCCTGGCAAACACTCCAGCCAGAGCTCATGGTTACGGTGGTGGCGTCCCAGTCCTGGCGGGTTATGCCAGCCCTGTGAATCCCAAGCAGAGTCTCCAAGCATGGTGGGTTCTTCTGCTGCTGAGAGGAGGTGCACCCTAGGGTGCTAGATGAGGAGTTAATGCAGAGAACAAGGCACCACAGAGAGGTTGGACACTTGGGTTGTGTGATACAGGACACGCTGGAAAAGTCCAAGGGTGGAGGGAAGAAGGGGAGAAGGAGGAAGAGGAGAAGAGTTTTAAATAATGTCTCATGAGGTCAGAGCCCCACTAGATGGGCTCCGGTTTGAGCTTTTCTGCTAGGAAGTCATTCACAAAGGCCTCCACGATGGCAGGGGTGATCTCCTCCACGTCCATCACGTACTTGGCCCGGGCGGACATGTCCAGAATGGTGAGCAAAGGGGCAGCCTCGGGCAGGTTGGTATAATCTCGCAGGGAGTCGGTCATGTCATCCTGGAAGTCACCAGAGGGAGAGAAAACCAGTAAGTTTTCAAGACAGAGGGTAGATGGTGCCCTGGCCTGGATTCCCCAGATAGCCCAAAATGCAACCACACCATCACCCTGAAGAGCTCCCCCAGAGAGATGGGCTCTCAGAAGGGGGTGCAGGTGCCCTACCCTGCCGTGGGGAGGCCAAGAGGCTGGTCCATAAAATGCTCTCTCTGCATCAGTCTGAACGACCAGGCAAGTCATCTTCCTTTCTCAGTACAGGAGCAAGTCTAACACGTCTCTGCTGTGTGAAAACAGGCTGTCCTTTCACTACTTACTTTCACGATCAACTCTCAATTATATGCAGTCCCACTGTGGATTATCTGAGGTTGATCTGGACTCCAACTCTGGAATGTTCTAAGACAGAAACAGCTCACTGCCCCCACCCCCAGCCCTGTGGTTTCCAGGAGGAAGGAGCTGCACAGCCAGTGCAGATGATGGTGCTACTGAAGTACTTCCCAAGTTCACACAGGTTTCTATGTTTATCATACATCCCCAGTGACCACCCAGATGAACTTCTCCTATTGGTATAAAGAAACACATACAGAGGTTAGAGAATGATTTGTAAGGGAACAATCATTGCAGATGACTTTTCACACTGTTGACCCCCATTTGGGAGATAACAGAAAATGCCCTCCACTTGCCCATCCTGAGGTTGTCTCACTATTAAGATGTCAAATATCCTGAACTGAATGAGGAGACCAGAGCTGTTCTGCAGAGAAAGGGCTTGGGGAATTCCTGGTCTTAAATAAATGCTTGCCAGCAGGAGGCATGAACTGTACAGCTTACCAGTTTCTAAGATAAAATACACTACTTTCTCAAAGGGCAAATCTTTGGAAGGTTATTAGATTTTTGCCCCCACCTCAGAAACGGCGTGTACCTCCCAGCAACGCTGGGCTATTTGACATCTCTGGCACTGGTCATCCGATTCAGGCCCTCCATGTGGGTTAATAAACAATCTCATGATAAACAGAGGGAGCCACCTGGACAAATACTGTACATTGCATTCCCGTTAGGAGGCCTAGGCCAGGCTAAGTGCAACGCTGCCTCCCCTTCCTCCTCTCCCTCCTAACAAACCACAGAGATATGAATTTTAATGTTTATTAAAGCTTCAGAAGGTAACTTCTGCCTGCCAGAGAGGACAGGATCAAGACAAACATAGGGTCCCACTTAGCCTTGGGTGGAACATGAGAAGCTCAAAGTCCTGGGCTCAGAGGCACTTAGTCCATGCCTGATGTCCCAGTGCCCTGTGCCCACCACCCTTCTACAGTGGCTTCTGAGCACCAGGACACAGAACTGCACCAGGAGAGCTGCCAAGGCCAGGAGCCCAGGTGAAGTGCCCAGGAAGGACAGGTGGCCAGTCGGGGAGGTGGAGCAGTGGATGACCCTGGCTCCTCTGTCCATCTTCCTGGACAGGTATCCTTCCCTCTGGGCCAGAGCTGGTCCACCTGCCCAAGCACATGGACAGAGTGAGAACCCTGCTTCTGGAGTCAGGCTGACCTCACCTTCACTCCTTTCTCTGCCACCTATGTATTACGTGACTTCAGCTAGCCACTTCTCTGAGACCAGGTTTCATGCCCAGTAAAACATATTTAATAATGGCTTACATGGAGCTACACAAGGAGGCGTGAGAGCCAGCCAGCTCTTGCAGCCCGGCAGACCAGACTCGGAGCAGCCTTACCCTCTCCAGGCCTCGCTTTCCTCAGCTGTGAAATGATAATGATCATGTTCCCCACCAGAGAGGTGAGGAGCAAATGGTCCGAGGCAGGTGAAGCACTTGGCCTGGTGCCTGGTATACAGAAAACCTGCAAATGTTCCTTTGCAGCCACATTTTTAAAGCAGTTACTGGAGATCTCCACTCTAGCTCCACCCCTGGCTCAGCCCTTTCTGTTCTGTATCCATCTTTTCTCACAGCCCCTGGAAAGGCGTTAGAGTTGAATGCATTCAGAGCAGCTTCCATTTGTGCTTTGTTGGAGCGGGCTCATGTAGCCCTTAGGCAGGGCCCTGCGAACCTGCTTTGTTCCCTCCATCCCACTGCTGTGCAGGGTGACTTCAGCTGCCTGCGAGGGGCCCAGCAGGGCTTAGCCAGGGCGGCTATTGAGGGGGTGATGAACGGGTGGTGGTGGTTCAGGGTGTCTGGCTGCCGCTGACTCTCCTGGAATCCAAGCATAGCGTGAAATGAGCATGGAGCTCTGACCACTTGGAGATACAGATGAGTGGAATAAGGGCAGTTGGGCATCAAAAAGTGTGTGTGTATCAACAACCGGCTTGCGGCCTGGTGCAGAGTAGGTGGGGAGAGGGTTGAGCATGCGCGGAGGGTGGCTCCGGGGGCTAGGGACTGCGGCACTGCACCTGAGCTGCCCCGCGCCCCTGTTGTAGAGGATGCCAGGTCTGTGGTCGAAGGGTCCTGCACCTCTGTGGAGCAGGCACCTGCTGGAGGGGGCCCTGCCTTCTCATCCTGGAGAAGTCCAGCTGGAGGACTTCTAGGGACAAGCCTTGGGTGAAAGACATAGGGATGCCAGTAAGTTCCAACCTCAGCACTCTCCCTGGGCTGGCTAGGTAACTGCAGGTCCGAGGTGGGGCCCCAGCCAGGTTCCCTGTATGGGGAAAAGCTCACTTTGCAGGCCAGTGCAGAGGGGGGCTAACCACACAGATGCACTGTAAAGCTCCGGGGGGCTGGGTTCCAAGCAGGGAGTAAGTGTTGGTCTCGACCTTTGCGGCTGCCTCTCTCCCTAGCAGCCTGGGTGGGAGCCATGCAAGAGGGGGCTCTGTCCTGGGAAGGCATCCTGCCACTCTGAGCCTGCTGAGCAACGGGTGAAGGAGGAAGTGGCAGGGGCAGGAAATGGTTTTCCACGACTGAGGACACACCTTTTCATGCCTGTCAGTGGCTTCTCCCAGAAGCACTGGCACCCAGGCCCTAGGGCCCCTTCAGGCATCCCTTAGGTTGTAAATGTGGGCCAGCTGACCCCCTGCGGGCCAGGCCCCAGCAGCACTCACCTCCCCTGCCACAAAGAACAGAAGCGGCGCCTCCTCCTCTTTGGCTTTGTACTTGGCAATGACCTTCTCAGCTATTGGCTGTATCAGCTGCTTGGCGGCCTCAGACTCTCCGTCATCCTCAGAATCTGTGATGCAGGAAAGACACGACGAAGCACTAGTTTGTCAGACAGAGTGGCGGTCCCTGAGGGAGTCTGCATCCAGGGCCTGAAATTCCCACCTGGGCAGCCCCTGAATAGAAAACGAGCTTCCCCCCGGGACACAGGCCTTGCCTCCTGGGTGCTAAGGGTGTATTACAGGCACCTCACTGAGTAGCACCGATGCCTCAGGCAGGATTCTTTTCATTGAATTCTGCACAAACCCACCTCGAAAGATGAGCTTCCCCTCTGCTGGGACCTGAGGTCCCCGGCAGTTTTTCTCATAGTCACAGATAAGAAGCCACAACCTTGGATCTCTGTCTTCCTAATGGAAACAGCAGAACTGGTGGCAGTGGCGGTGGGTCAGGACTGTGGTCAGGTCAGCAGCTTTGGTGGCAGTGGGGAGGCACCAGGGTCACTGGAGTGCCAGCTTCACAGCCGGCAGCTGGAGTGGCCCAGAAGGGGACAGGCTGCCTGCAGGGAGCAGCCCCCACCAAGGCCCCGGGGCTCACTCCTGCTGACCGCTGACACCAACAGCAAGAACAACACCCCTGAGTGGCAAAGGAGAGGAGGGGAGAGCAGATGCCAGCAGGGGATTTTCACCCAGAAATGCCACACTGCCCAAGAGGCCCACAGTGGGCAGATGTGGCAAAACACACCCCAGATCCACATGGAGTTAGCTCTGTGATGCTGGGATCTCCCTTCACCTCTCTGGGGCCTTGCTTCCACATCTGCCAATGGTCTCGAAGGTTCTGAATTGTCCCTCAGCTCAGAGTTGTTTTCCAGTGGCCCTAAGAGTGGGTGTGTGAGCCTGCAACAGGCAGCTAGGCCCCAAAGTAGACGACTCCCCCAGGAGGCCTCTGTCCTCCAACCACAGGGCCAGCTTGCAAATCAGTTTGCTTAAGAATTCCTTTGAGTCTGCATGTTGGCTTCCCTCCTGGGAACCCCCAAACTAGATTTCCAGAGAAGGGGAGTAGGATGTGGGACATATTCCCCAGCCTCCCTCAGTGAAGTGGGTATGGCAGCAGCTCAGGCATGATCCTAGGATCCCAGGTGATTCTGAGTTGGAGCTGAGCAACAAGTCCCAAGACAGAGTCCCAAATCCCTTGGCCAGCAGTTGCTGTGTTTGTAAAAGGAACCAGGGTCACCCCACAGGGCTGCAGGGAGCCTGGATGTTCCTAAATCTTCCTGCCTGGCACAGTCACCCACTGAGCACCAGAGGGGCAGTGATGGGTGAGACTGGGAGGGGGCACTTGGCCACAGAGATGCCACCTGCCAGGGGCCTGGGGCAGCCCTTCAGGACACAGGTGATAGGCAGAAGCAGCCTGGGTTAAGTCTTGGCCCGAGGGTCCCGCTCCCCGCAGCTCCCCTGTGTGTGCAGCCCTGCCTCCTTCCATCTAGGAGTCTTGTTCGTCAGGGGGCCCAGGGCATCCTCCAGGCCTGACCTATTCTTCCCAGCTGGCAGTCGGGAGCAGCTCCCAGAACACCTCCTGCAGGGGCAGAGCCATGAATAAACCATCAGGGTCAAATGCAAGGCTGCTGGGAGAGACAAAGGCCCAGGCTCTGCACTGTCCCCTTCAGAAGAAGCTGCAGGGACATCCCCCCCGCCCCTCCCCTCTGTGAGGTCTGTCCTGTCCCTCCCACCTTGGGGCTCCTGCTGAGCTTCATACCTACAAAAAGGACGAGGCAGGGGCCCTCATTGAGCTGCACAGCGTTGGAGTCGGAGAGCTCCAGCACAGGCTTGGGGTGCCACGGGAACTCCCTGCAGTCCTCGTCGTTCAACACCTCCACCCTGCCCTGCCGCGTGATCACCTCCCCCTGAGGGTCCAGCACGATGAGGGTGGGGATGCCTGCAAAAGAGACAGTGCGCTTGGTCACTGGCCCCTAGGGACAATCGGGAGGTCCTGGAATGGAATCCAGGCTCAGCCAGGGAACAGCCACACAACACTCTCGGGTCTGCATGTAACTGCTCCATGGAACGTGGGCACATCACTTCACCTGTCCTGGCCCCGTGTCTCCCACTGCAACAGGATGACTGTACTGCAGTTCCTACCTTACCCCACTATGTAAAGACCAGTGAGGTCGTGTATTTAAAGAACTTAGCACGGGGTCTTGGCAGACAGAAGCAGTCGATAAATCCTAAAGAGATCCCAAAGTGGAAGATGCTGCCCCAGCCCGCAGGGAATCTTAAACCTAACCAACGTGGTGTTCCATGCAGTGTACTTGGTACAGACGCAAAGCAGGGCACATCAATCAATGCGATGGGAGTCCTCACACGGGCAGCAGGGCTCCAGCAGCTCTGGAGGGAGCAGCCTGGGGTGGAGGTTGCAGCAGGAGAGCAGGAAGACAGCTGGTTGCCAGAGAGTCAGCTGCCCCCATCCCCTACCTGCAGCCCTGCTGCCTGGGGGGGCCCCCAAACCTGCTCCAAGGGGGACAGTCCCTGGAGGGAGCGTGTAGTGGCAACGCTGCCACCCTCACGTAGAGTCCTTGGCTCAGGTAAGAAATGTAACACCAAACTCCGTGCAAACCACAGCCCCCTCAACTCTAAAGCCTCCAGTGGAACATCAGAGAAAATCCCATCCTGGGATAGAGTCGTATCTGGGTCTTCCACCTCCCTGGTCTTCTGCACACCATTCCCTGCTGCTACTCCTCCAGTCAGGACTCTCCCAGCTCCTCCAAACCCCTCGGAGCCCCCACCCTGCCAACCACAGCTCCCAGAGTATCAGCCTCAGCCCTGCCCTGTGGCAGCCCTGCCCTGTGGGGACGCTTGTCTCTCCACTGGCAGCCAGATCCCTCCCCCCTCGCACTAACCAGCCACCTCTCCTCTGGAGCTGACCAGAGCTTTAATTTTATATGGACCAGTGAAAGTCAGAGCAATTTAGTATTTATAGGTTCCAAAGCATTCAGCTGGTGATTTGCTCCACTGACATTTTACTTCTCTGTCGGGGGGATGCTGAGGTACCAGAAATATGGTCCCAGTGTTTTGTAACCTGCTACAGTGCCCAGCATGCAGCGGTGGGCCCGTCTTCAAAAGGAATAAACGAGTCCATTATGTTCACACCTATTATAGTGGCATGGCCTGTTAGGGAACAGGTCTGGAGAGAACTGGCCTCTGGAGGACTGCCAGTCCCACCACAGCACACACACACTGGTACTCCTCGGGGGCTTTTAGGACATGCTCAGAGCTATCCAGGCCTCCTGAGTTATATGTTAAAAGACAAGAGACCTGGGGTGCCTCCAGCTGAAGTTACCCTCCGTGGCCCACATCAGGTGCGTCCCCATCCCTGAGGAGGATCAGGCTGGGCCATAGTCAGCAGCCTGAAGGGAGCCTGGGGCTGCAGCTGGGGCCCAGGACAGGCCAGCTGGCTACAGGCGAGGGCCTCCCCACCACCATGCCGCATCTCAAAAATGCCTTGGCAAAGTTCTTTAATTGAAGTTGATATGTTGCTGAAATTGGGCAATTACAAGTGTTGGGTTAAACCAGGATCTGCCCACTGCTATGATCAGGCATAGCAGCTGGCCTGCTCATAGCCCAGAATTGGTCTGTGGAAGACAAGCAGGCACACAGGACAAAGAAGGGAGGAAAAGTAAAATCTGAAGGCAAAGCTCACTTCCTGGTTTGGTTCCTCAGTTTATTCACAGGACCCCTCTAAGGGGCCTCCTTTGTTACTATGGCTGCAGCCTCTCTTAAGTCTGTGCTGGTGGGACCAGGATGGCAGGGCAAGGACACAGTACCCAGCTGGCTGCTGAGAAAGCCTCAGCCAAATCTACCAAGGAACAGCCCCCTAGACCTTGGGCCCCCTACCCCTTCCCCACAGCTCTGAGAAAGCAAAGTCCCCGCTCCTATTTGGTGCTGAGAGCACCATCACCTGTGTCTAAAAGCCCAAGACAATGAGGCGTGTGTGCCTGTGTGGTGCATAAACAGAAAGCAACCCCATAAAATAACCAAGCAGACTTCAATCCAGAAGCCCATTTCTGGGAGGTGGACAGGGGAAAGTCTCTGTGCACAGTGCCCAGTCCCCTTCCTATCATGCAGTCTTGGGTTAGCTTGACTCTGGAGCCCTACGCATGTGCTTTCCTCCAGGGATGGACCAGTGGACGAGAGAAGGGAAGCTCACCTCCCTGGGACATGTGCTAGACAGGCACATGCTAGCTACCTCACTGACTCTGCATAACAGATGGTTGTGGGAAATACGATTATCCTCCTTTTATGGGTGGACAAGTTGCCTACCCAAGGTCATTGGGCCAGTCAGTGGCCAAGTGGGACAGGAACCCTGGTCTGCCTGTTATAACAGCTGCTGCTCTTCCTACCAGGCCACCTGCTAGGAGGGGGCTTGCACAGACAGCCCTGGGTTGGGGAAGGCCCCTGCACCTGCAGCTTTGGACACCACCCACCCCCTCCTCTCTTCCCTCCCAAGGCTGCAGTCACCTTTTGCCTTTCATTCCCCCACAGTGCTTTCCCTGCTCCCCTCCCCTGAAGCAGGTTCTCTGAAGCAGAGACTTCTAAGGAGAAAATAGGGCAAAGCCTCTAATGGGAAACTTAAAGGGAATGGAAAATTTCTAATCGATGCCTTTGTACAAAATAACTTCCACACCAGGACACCACCAATAGAACAAAAAGACAGCCTGCAGTATGGGAGAATATATTCTTAAATGACAGATCTGGTAAGAGGTTGACACCCAACAAACAAAAAGCAAACAATCCAATAAAAAAATTCAGAGGAACTGAACAGACGGTTCTCCAAAGAAGAAATTCAGATGGCCAACAGAAACATGAAAAGATGCTCCACATCACTAGTCATTAGAGAAATGCAAATTAAAACCACAATGAAGTATCACCTCACATCAGTAAGGATCGCCACCATCCAAAAGACAAACAACAATAAATGCTGGCAAGGATGCGGAGAAAGGGGACCCCTCCTACACTGGTGGTGGAAATGTAAATTAGTTCAACCATTGTGGAAAGCAGTATGGAGATTCTTCAAAAAACTCAAAATAGAAATACCATTTGACTGAGGAATTCCACCCTTAGGAATTTACCCTAAGAATGCAGCAGCCCAGTTTGAAAAAGACATATGCACCCCTATGTTTATCACAGCACTACTTGCAATAGCCAAGAATTGGAAGCAACCTAAGTGTCCATCAGTAGATGAATGGATAAAGAAGACATGGTACATATACACAATGGAATATTATTCAGCCATAAGAAGGAAAAACAAATCCTACCATTTGCAACAACATGGATGGAGCTAGAGGGTATTATGCTCAGTGAAATAAGCCAGACAGAGAAAGACAAGTATCAAATGATTTCACTCATCTGTGGAGTATAAGAAAAATGAAAAAACTGAAGGAGCAAAACAGCAGCAGAATCACAGAACCCAAGAATGGACTACCGGTTACCAAAGGGAAAGGAACCAGGGAGGATGGGTGGGACGGGAGGGATAAGGTGTGTGTGTGGGGAAAGGGGCATTACGTTTGCATGCATAAATTGGGGGGGCACGGGAAGGGCTCTGCAACACAGAGAAGACAAGTAGTGATTCTACAGCATCTTACTACGCTGATGGACAGTGACTGCAATGGAGTATGTGGGGGGAACTTGGTGATGGAGGGAGTTTAGTAAACATAATGTTCCTCATGTAATTGTAGATTAATGATACCAAAATAAAAAAATAAAATAAAATAACAAAAAACTTCCACACCAGCAAGAGGCTTTTCTGAAGGGAATGGAAAAGTTGCAGCTTGTTTCTGCTTCACTTGAACTTGTGGTTTCCCAGCTGGGATGGCTGGGATGGTCAGGGGGAAGTACGGTGAGAATCTAAGGATGATCCAGCCATGACACTCACTTCCTGGAAGCTCACTTCCACGGCTGTCACGTGGGAGTAGTGACAGCTCTCTGCCTTATTTGAGGGTTGTGAGGAATAAACAAGATGGCAAGGAGAAAAAGGCTTTCTATCAGAGTACCTGGTATACAGTAAGTACTCCATAAATGTTAGTTCTTATTATAAATAAGTTCTTTTTTTAATTATCCCTAAGTTGAGTATTTGACTCAGGAGAAGGCAAAGGTACAGAAGACTGGGGCCTTGCTCCAGTGAGATAAACAGAAACCTCCATGCCAGGTGGAGGAAGTCAGCTACAGAAAGAACCAAGAGACGATGCCAATACCACAACGAGGGTTCCAGGAACAGTGTGAGGTCGGCCACACGTGGGGTTGGTGTTCTCTCACTTGCACATCTCAAGCTTATTTTTGGGCATAAGACACATACTTTATGCTCCTAGAGGCTTCAGTCCTAAGCCCCCTGCCTTGGACCACAAGCAGCGCCTAAGAACCCCACTCACCATCTCTCTCAAAACCCAGAGAAGAAAGAACAAGACCTGAGAAGCCTACCCCAAACTGTTTCCTCCTGGGAGAAGATTGTCTTTAGAACAATCTCAAAGCGACATGTACTGAGACTGTCTCAGAGTTTAGTTCAGTTGCTTTTCTACTGCCAAGGAAAGAGGGAGCTTCGGAGGAGTCGGCCGTGGTGGGGGTCCAGGGGTGGGGAAGCTCAGTCACACAGCACCCTGGCAAGTGGCAGGACTGCAACTCAAAGAGCATTCTTTCTCTGCTTCCACAGGGCAATGCAATCTGAGGGTGCTGGAAGGAATCACTCAATGACTGCTGGGCCCTGGGAAGAAATGGGAGGAAAAGCAGAGCCCAGGCCAGGAAGGGCAGGTGACGGCACAGGAGGCAAAACATTGCGCAATCATGAAAATGGTGATTGTAAAGACTAGCATGATAGAAGATGTTTGTAGTATGCTGTTAAACAGCACATACAGAATACACAGCACTTTGTTGATTACAGCTATGCTG